GAACAAACACAAGAATAAGTATTTATTTCACTAGCTATATGGAGTTTTAGTGATTAATGCTTGCATGTCTATCATTACTTGGGGTTTAATATCCTAACTTTGTGATGTTGTTCTGTATTTGTTTTGTTGTTAATGTGACAAATCCTTAAATCTGTATCTGGATTGTCTTTTTGTGTGGAAGTTGTTATGACAATTAGTTTGGTTTTGATTTTTCTTTTTTCGGTGACAATTGGTATTGCTTGTTTTTTTTAAAGCTACGGTCACTGTGATCAGTTGGGCTTTGGCATTGTTTTTTTGTGGGGGCGAGAGTGGCAATCAACTAGGCGTTGTTTTTGCAATCTTTTAGGTTTTTTTTATTCCCTATGGCATTGTGACGGTCGTCCTCTGTGGTCCACCAACAGCCATCGACATGGACAACACCACCTCTACTAGCTACAACCAGGTACCTCTCTCGCTCTCAGATAAGATTTGGTTCGAGATCAATTTGTATTCTAAATGAATTGAGCTTGAAAAATTTTTACCGGTTTAACTCGTTTATATGTAAAAATAATAAATCCGGATTCGGTCCGAACTCGAGTTTGGACTCTGGTTCAGCTCTAGTATTAAATAAGTCGAGTTTGAATAACTTTTTAAACTCATTTAGAAAAATAAGCTCCACAAACTCAGGCTCAAACTCGTAAAATTCAGTTCGATTAAAACCCTTATTGGTAAGAGGAGGGATTTAAGAAGATCATACTAAATTTGCTTCTATTGTTAGGTTAGTGGGTTGGTAGTAAGTACAAATTAATAGTGAATAATATTTGACTAGTATATTGAAAAATTGCTTTTAGCTATTGTATTTTTCTATTACATCACAGAATGATATAAACTTAATTGTTTATTTCATTTTATAAATGCAAACATCATATACTGTAATATCTATAACAATGCAATGTTGCAAATGTAGAACGTTTAAATTTGGTGAAGAATTGTGTACATATATATTATTTTTTGATGCTACTACATGCTGTCTTGGTTTTACACTAGTATATTCATAAGGGGAAAGTTCCAATGTAAGTTTCTTTTGTCACCTAGGTATTATTGCTAAAGAAGAAGGACTACTTTCCTTGGATCTCGGGAGAGGTATATTCATCGGACCACTAAGAAATTTTTGGGGAATTCCCACGGATCATAACTTTAAATTGATGTAGAGAAAAACATAATATGTTCAATAGGAAAGAACACGAAACCAGGGAAAAGACAAAATGGGAGGTCTTTCACATAAGGAAGCAAGAGAGAGTAGGTAGGACTAAGAGCATACCTATTCAAACAAATCTCAATGTAGTTCAAAGTAATGCACAAAATTTTCTCATAAAACAAGGGTAAGTATAAATGCCTTAGTTATAACTCGTGATGGAAGATACGATATAATATAAAATTTTAATCCTTAAAAAAATATTCTGATTATATTAAATAATATATTTTTTTCATTTTTTTCTTTGATTATAACATTTAAAATTTGTTTATATTCATTATTTTCTTACAAATATTGACAAAATTATTTCAAAATTCGTAATTTGATAAAATTTTCTTAACATTTATATACTATCGTGAATTATGTTAAATAACAAATTAATTAGATATTAAATGATTGAACATGTAATAGAAATGAGTGATATAATAATTTTAAAAAAATGTGTAAAAAATAAAATAGAACTTCCTATATATTTTATTTTATTACATACTATAGTCAACCACCAGCTAAAGAGATTTGTCAAGCTTTTAGGTATCCTTTTTGTAACTTTATTGTAGGATGACAGAACAGATTATCCTGTCATTTATATCATAATGGCTTAGAGCCAAACATAAATCATGGTATAAATCAATAGCCTAACTTATAATTAGAATTCACCCTTCACAACCGCTTCACCGTTCATTTTTCATTTTTTATTTTTATTTTCAGATTTTTTGAGGTGCAAAATTTTATTTTCATATATATACTGATTTTCACAGTTTTCATTTCAAATATAGGTGGTCTGCAAACTGCAACTCGCCGACTAGGGCACACGTCATGAATCTAATCAATTTTTGTTTTTGATCAAGGATACTATTGTTATGTTGAAGGTTGGAATTAGAAAGAGAAAAGGACGTTGACCAATCCAGCCGATGTGATTCATCCATTATTTAAATAGCACAGACTAAAGCCACGCTATCAACTTTTGGACATGCAAAAGGTGGGTTTATGTTACTGTTTATCTTCTTCCTCAAGCCATAAAATTTTTTGAGTTGCAGAAAAATTTGTTTTTACTTGCCTACTTTGCATCACTATATCTCTCACTACAAAACCCTGTTTGACACAAATAATATACCGTTAGAAAGCTCTTACAACATACTTTATAACCATATAAATTTAATGAGAAGAAATTTGGCCAAAAAACTTGGGTCCAACATAATTTCGCTACTGGGTTTTTCTTTTCATACCAAGTGGTACCCATCAAATTTTATAGGCATGCTAACTTGGATATAAGGATCTGTAAGGGGTAGAACCCTCTACTAAGAATTTCGGCGGCGCCACTCCGGTAGCCTTTACCTCTCTTCGTCAATAGGACCCTTTCCTAAGACAATCCCACATCGAAAAAAGTCGTCTCCCCCCNTTATATGTAAAAATAATAAATCCGGATTCGGTCCGAACTCGAGTTTGGACTCTGGTTCAGCTCTAGTATTAAATAAGTCGAGTTTGAATAACTTTTTAAACTCATTTAGAAAAATAAGCTCCACAAACTCAGGCTCAAACTCGTAAAATTCAGTTCGATTAAAACCCTTATTGGTAAGAGGAGGGATTTAAGAAGATCATACTAAATTTGCTTCTATTGTTAGGTTAGTGGGTTGGTAGTAAGTACAAATTAATAGTGAATAATATTTGACTAGTATATTGAAAAATTGCTTTTAGCTATTGTATTTTTCTATTACATCACAGAATGATATAAACTTAATTGTTTATTTCATTTTATAAATGCAAACATCATATACTGTAATATCTATAACAATGCAATGTTGCAAATGTAGAACGTTTAAATTTGGTGAAGAATTGTGTACATATATATTATTTTTTGATGCTACTACATGCTGTCTTGGTTTTACACTAGTATATTCATAAGGGGAAAGTTCCAATGTAAGTTTCTTTTGTCACCTAGGTATTATTGCTAAAGAAGAAGGACTACTTTCCTTGGATCTCGGGAGAGGTATATTCATCGGACCACTAAGAAATTTTTGGGGAATTCCCACGGATCATAACTTTAAATTGATGTAGAGAAAAACATAATATGTTCAATAGGAAAGAACACGAAACCAGGGAAAAGACAAAATGGGAGGTCTTTCACATAAGGAAGCAAGAGAGAGTAGGTAGGACTAAGAGCATACCTATTCAAACAAATCTCAATGTAGTTCAAAGTAATGCACAAAATTTTCTCATAAAACAAGGGTAAGTATAAATGCCTTAGTTATAACTCGTGATGGAAGATACGATATAATATAAAATTTGAATCTTTAAAAAAATACTCTGATTATATTAAATAATATATTTTTTTCATTTTTTTCTTTGATTATAACATTCAAAATTTGTTTATATTCATTATTTTCTTACAAATATTGACAAAATTATTTCAAAATTCGTAATTTAATAAAATTTTCTTAACATTTATATACTATCGTGAATTATGTTAAATAACAAATTAATTAAATATTAAATAATTGAACATGTAATAGAAATGAGTGATATAATAATTTTAAAAAAATGTGTAAAAAATAAAATAGAACTTCCTATATATTTTATTTTATTACATACTATAGTCAACCACCAGCTAAAGAGATTTGTCAAGCTTTTAGGTATCCTTTTTGTAACTTTATTGTAGGATGACAGAACAGATTATCCTGTCATTTCAATCATAATGGCTTAGTGCCAAACATAAATCATGGTATAAATCAATAGCCTAACTTATAATTAGAATTCACCCTTCACAACCGCTTCACCGCTCATTTTTCATTTTTTATTTTTATTTTCAGATTTTTTGAGGTGCAAAATTTTATTTTCATATATATACTGATTTTCACAGTTTTCATTTCAAATATAGGTGGTCTGCAAACTGCAACTCGCCGACTAGGGCACACGTCATGAATCTAATCAATTTTTGTTTTTGATCAAGGATACTATTGTTATGTTGAAGGTTGGAATTAGAAAGAGAAAAGGACGTTGACCAATCCAGCCGATGTGATTCATCCATTATTTAAATAGCACAGACTAAAGCCACGCTATCAACTTTTGGACATGCAAAAGGTGGGTTTATGTTACTGTTTATCTTCTTCCTCAAGCCATAAAATTTTTTGAGTTGCAGAAAAATTTGTTTTTACTTGCCTACTTTGCATCACTATATCTCTCACTACAAAACCCTGTTTGACACAAATAATATACCGTTAGAAAGCTCTTACAACATACTTTATAACCATATAAATTTAATGAGAAGAAATTTGGCCAAAAAACTTGGGTCCAACATAATTTCGCTACTGGGTTTTTCTTTTCATACCAAGTGGTACCCATCAAATTTTATAGGCATGCTAACTTGGATATAAGGATCTGTAAGGGGTAGAACCCTCTACTAAGAATTTCGGCGGCGCCACTCCGGTAGCCTTTACCTCTCTTCGTCAATAGGACCCTTTCCTAAGACAATCCCACATCGAAAAAAGTCGTCTCCCCCTGCCATATAAGTGAACACTTTCTATGGACATGCTAGACATGCTAACTAGGATTTAAGGATCATAAGCAAGCAATATAGCTCTGATACCAATGTTGGAAATAGATGTTATACATAAATTATCTCTTGACAGCTTTTTCACAAGAAATATATACAGAAACCAGTTGCGGACATTAAACTTAAATCTACATCACACTCATAAGCTTATTCATGAAAACGAAAAGTTTGGCCTCATTTTTCGAAGTCCATACAGAATTTTACACAGTACTAACCTTACAGAGTTTCCCATGCTATGTACGGTCCATGCAACTGCAGACCAACTTGCACTGCATATTCATTCCCATTTCCTAACCAACAAATCCTTAGTAACTCATTTGTACGAAGACCCTTTGCCAATGCAAAACCACGCCAGTCACGCGTCAGAGAACGCCTCCCATCTGCCCTTATTGAGGCTATGAATTCATATATGGTTCCGTGTCGGTCAGTTACACGCATGACCTCATTTCCATCCGGCAAATGATCTGCCCAGTTAGGTATTTCAAGGTTGCCATGGACATCCCTATTCGAGAGATATTTTTGGAAGGACACATATTGGGGCTCCATTTATACAAACCCTGAAAGAAAGACTAGCCATGGTGAATATACTAGCCCTAGTTAAAGAGAGAGAGAGAGAGAGAGAGAGAGAGAGAGAGAGAGNACAATTCATCATAAGGTCTTAAGTTTCAACTACATATATTTTTTTTAGTAGATTATTGGATATTTCGTCTTTAGTTTTTGAAGACGAGCTTTCCAAAGCTCTTTTCAAAGTTTCCATTGGTTTATAACTTACAAAAATTTATCCAATGTTAAAATACTTTAGAGTTACAAAATGAAATCAAGATAACAAATAACAAAAAGAGTATATCATATGAACAATCAACCACATATCACATAAGAATTTTTGTAACAGTGCATTATAAGATTTTCTCAACCAAGCAAGAAGGGGTACAATCACTGTATATTATTTTATTTGGCAACGCTGGCCAAATAACTCAGGACACAAGGACTACTAGAAGTGATTGTTCAACGACAAAACACTAGAAAAACAAAGATACTGGCAATCAAATCATTACAACACAAAAGTGAATCATGGGAATTGGGAATCATATGCCTTCAAATCTAAGAGTAGTAGAGATATAGGTCCTCTCCTAAAATTCTTAGCAATTATCAGCACAGTGCAATATTTAGGTCCTGCATTTATTTACATATATAAAGCAGAAAGAGGATAATTTGTTAGATCAAAAGGTGGGATAACCACAGATTCCGAGAATGAACACAGAAAATTCTTAAGGGGGTTTAGGAAGTATCTCCTCCTTGGGTTTCTAAGTTTCCACATTTTTGATTAATCATCAGATAAAAGAAAAAACTTTTATCTCGTTAAATCTTTCTCATCATACGTACAATTAATCCCCCAACTTTCACATGTTCTACAACTTCTCACTTTCTATCCTCTTTTATCTTCTTTTTTGCCTCTTGTATTGTCTCGCTAATAAGCACACATTAAAATAATTAGGAGAGGAGGATGGGCTGGAGATGTTGAAATTAGGTGAAAATGTAAATTTTATATATGCAACGTACGTGTCCATCTCTATATATAAACAATTATTTAGGTTATTCTACTAATTCTCAAGCAAGATATAAGATGTGTCATGGACTAACACATCTCAGCTGCTACCCAGCAACTTAATCATTTTTTCAAGCCTCCCTTACCCACAAAACAAATGGTGCCAATACTACACTATTTACTATTTTGTATCCAACATGTTGAAATCCATATGGTAAAACTAGTAGTGTGTTCATGTTTGGTGACGGGAAATCATCCCCAACTAGTCTTTTGGATTTGCAGTTGCAACATAATCTTCAAATACACTTAATCACCCACAACCATAATTTCTTCGCCGCTCCATGAATAATAAACTCGTCAGATCAGACATACCAGAAAAAGATCACTTGGGTTCATAAATTTTACGAGGATTATTTTCTTAGATGGTAAGTCCTAAAAGGAAAACCAGCCCGGTCTAGCTACTGGGTCGCCAATTCAGTGTAGTTTTCTGCCAGAGAGGCCCGGTTGAATGGTAGTGACACGGTCAATTTTTTTGGTGTAAGCTAAGACCTCTCAAATGCTTATGAGAGGTCTTTTTAATTTGCTAGAACTGAATTGATTCTAAAAGATTTTATCAAGTTTAACTGGCATTTGGCCACACTCATATTATTCTCTCAAATATTTCCGTTCAATGCTTGAAGGTACAACTAATATAATGTTTTCATTGAATTATGTCTCTATAGTATTGTTCTGTAGAATATAATTGTGTAAATTGGAGGTCCACAAACATAGACCATGCTGTTATTTCCTGCTGCTCTTTTATACCAGATTTCCAACGTATGACAAAGTGGTCATTTTAGCAGTAGCAGTTGAAAGAGACGAAGAAGTTGTCTCGTCGGAAAATGCAGAATTCCCAAATAGAGGGACCTTAAAAAACAAAAAGGACTCGGCTCGATTGTTCCCTTTGTTCTTCATTGGAAAAGGTAAGTAGAGGTGTTAATTGAAATGAGTTTTTCGGTCTGGACTCATATAAGACTTGATTCAAAATTGACTTGAATTTTAAACGAACTGAATTTGAATAATTTTTTAGATTCATTTAGTAAAACGAGCCTTCAAGGCTTGGCTCGTTTATATATAAAATAATTGAGTTACTCGGGCTCGGTCCAAGCACAGGTCAGGTATTAAAAAAGTCGAGTTTGAACAATTTTTTAAATTCATTTAAAAAAAGAGTTTGGCATACTCGAGTTTAAGCTTGTAAAACTTGACTCGATTAATTGTCCGAATGGTAAAAGAGGAGGGATTTGAGAAGATATACTAAATCTGCTTCTATTGTTGGGTTACTGGGTTGGTAGTACAATTTAATAGTTAAAAATATTAGACTAGTATATTGAAAACTTATTATATTTTTCTATTCCATCACACAATGATATAAACTTAATTGATTATTTCACTTTATAAATACAAACATCATATACTGTAATATCTATAACAATGCAATGCTTCCCCATACCATATTTATAGTTTATTGACCTTTTTCTACTAAACTAATGTAGAATGTTAGATCAACAGATTTATTATTTATTTAATAAGTCTCACTCATCTAAAAATATTTATTCATTTGCTGAGTAAATTTGATAAAGAATTGTGTACATATATTGTTACCAATAACCATGATACTGGATATTTGCAAAAAAAAATAAATTATTTTTTGATGCTATTACAAGCTGTCTTGGTTTACATTTGTATATTTATAAGGGGAATATTCATAAGGGGAATGTCCCATGATGTTTTTTTTTGTCACTTAGGTAAAGAGGGAGAGGCTCTGGTACCAATTCGGTACCGTACCATAAAAACATGTGTGGTTACAATTTTTTGTTATTAAATATTACTTACTAAAGATAATAATTTTACTTATAAAAGTTTTAATTTTTTTTCCTAAAAATTGTAATTTTATCTATAATTATAATAATTTTATCTCTAAATGTGATAGCATTATCTTAAAAGGCTATTTGGTAAGTGAGATCGGGGGTTTTGGAAGATGGATTAGGAAAAAATAGTCCAAATGACACAAAATTCATGTTTGACAAAAATTTGAAGCCTGAGTTACCAAGCCTAGCCTGTTTTTGGCTCAGACCTTGGACCCCAAATTATGGGTTTCATCAAACTCAGGGGGAGACTGGTTTCGGATGAGGGTTAATTGGTTTAGGATACAAAAATATAATTATACTCCTTACGTATACAAACATGGATTTGAATTAAATTGATGAAGGGGCAAAATAGTTATTTATATACAAATATATTATCATAATAGTGATATATTGTGGGCATATCAAACATGGGTATGTATTGGATTTAATGTTGAATCTCATTTTTCTAAAAAGGGGTTTGAGTTTAAAAGGGTTTGAGAAAGTCAATCCAAATCCCTCCCAAAAATCCATCTAAACAACCCTAAGAGTTATAAACTCACCTCAAGAGATTGTAAGCTCACATCACATTTAGAGTTATTACTTTTACCTTTATTGTTTGTAACATAACTTTAAATAATTATAACTTTATATCAAAAGGTAGTAATTTTACCATAAATAATTATAACCTCACATCAAAAAGTTATAATCTAACCTCTAAAATTAGTAATTTTGCCTATACAAAACGTAATTTAACCTCAAATGATTATAACCTCACTTTCAAAGATAATAATTTTATTTTCAATTATTGTAATCTTACCTAAAAGAGTTTGTACCTCCCCTTTAAATGTGATAATTTTATTTTTACATGTTGTAATTTAATCTCAAATGGTTGTACCCTCACCTCCAAAGGAAGTAGTTTTACCTTAAAAAGATTGTAACCTCCCTTCCGGAGGTTATAACCTCACCTCTAAACGTGGTATCTTTAACTACAGGTTGTATGTTAACTATAAATGATTGTAACATTATCTCTGAAGATAGTAACTTTACCTTAAAATGTAATTAACTTTATCTCAAGAATTATAATTTTATATTTGCAAGTAGTAGCATTACCTTTAAAATGTAACTTCATTTCAATAGTCTTGATCGATAATGATTATCTATGTTCGNATGTTAATTGAAACGAGTTATTCGGTCTGGACTCATATAAGACTTGATTCAAAATTGACTTGAATTTTAAACGAATTGAATTTGAATAATTTTTTAGATTCATTTAGTAAAACGAGTCTTCAAGGCTTGACTCGTTTATATATAAAATAATTGAGTTACTCGGACTCGGTCCAAGCACAGGTCAGGTATTAAAAAAGTCGAGTTTGAACAATTTTTTAAATTCATTTAAAAAAAAGAGTTTGGCATACTCGAGTTTAAGCTTGTAAAACTTGACTCGATTAATTGTCCGAATGGAAAAAGAGAAGGGATTTGAGAAGATATACTAAATCTGCTTCTATTGTTGGGTTACTGGGTTGGTAGTACAATTTAATAGTTAAAAATATTAGACTAGTATATTGAAAACTTATTATATTTTTCTATTCCATCACACAATGATATAAACTTAATTGATTATTTCACTTTATAAATACAAACATCAAATACTGTAATATCTATAACAATGCAATGCTTCCCCATACCATATTTATAGTTTATTGACCTTTTTCTACTAAACTAATGTAGAATGTTAGATCAACAGATTTATTATTTATTTAATAAGTCTCACTCATCTAAAAATATTTATTCATTTGCTGAGTAAATTTGATAAAGAATTGTGTACATATATTGTTACCAATAACCATGATACTGGATATTTGCAAAAAAAAATAAATTATTTTTTGATGCTATTACAAGCTGTCTTGGTTTACATTTGTATATTTATAAGGGGAATATTCATAAGGGGAATGTCCCATGATGTTTTTTTTTGTCACTTAGGTAAAGAGGGAGAGGCTCTGGTACCAATTCGGTACCGTACCATAAAAACATGTGTGGTTACAATTTTTTGTTATTAAATATTACTTACTAAAGATAATAATTTTACTTATAAAAGTTTTAATTTTTTTTCCTAA